ATTCCCCAGGCAAGAACATTGGAGTGGGTCCCCACCTCCTTCTCAAATACATGAAAGGAAAAAGTGAAAGTGAAGTCGCTCAGCTGTGTGGGACTCTTTGCGACCCCATGGACTGCAGCCCACCAGGCTCCTCCGTCCAAGGGATTTTCCAGGCAAGAGTACTGGAGTGGGGTGCCAGTGCCTTCTCCATATCTGTGACTTTGTATGGTTGGAGCCTGTTTTCCTTGTAACGTTATCTTAAGCTTCTCCCTTCCTCCTCTGGATAGAAGTTTCAACACATCTGAGAAAATGCAAGTGATCTGCAGCTTTGCTTCATTTGTTATTTAGTCCCTAAGTCGCTTCAGTCATGTCTGACTCTTTGCAACCCCATGGACTGTAGCCCACCAGGCTCCTCTGTCCATGGAATTCTCCAGGTATGAATATTGGAGTGGGTTGCCATTTACTTCTCCAGAGGATCTTCCTGACCGACCCAGGGATCGAACCTGCATCTCCCACATTAGGGGCAGATTCTTTACCACTGAGCCACTGGGGAAGTCCCCCAAATAAGACATACCTATAAAACACCTACAAAACTATGAAAAATGTGGGTAGTTAGTTTCGACCTGTAGTTGCAGAAAGTGACATGGTTTGCTGCAAGTGTAACACGATATTCTTGATCATCTGCTGAGCTGATTTAAAACTTGGGCTTCCAGCTAAAAGAAATCTATTGCCCTGGGTTTGTAATTTGGAAGGATGGCTTCTTGTTTTCTGCACAGCACATCTCATTGGTTGACTTGGGGAAACAGTTTTCTTGTGATGCCCTTTTTTAGGGCAGTAGATCATGTTTGAGGAATAAATTTATGTTTGGTTAAAAATTAGCAGTTTTATGCCTAAGTAAGATCTGAAGATCTATGCAAAAAAGTATTTCCTAAAGGAAATCAACTCTGGATAGTCATTGGAAGGACTGATGCTGAAGCTTCAATACTTCGGCCACCTGATGGAAACAGCTGACTCATTGGAAAAGATCTTGATGCTGGGAAAGATTGAGGGCAGGAAAAGAAGGGGGCAACAGAGGATGAGATGGTTAGATAGCATCACCAACTTGACACGAATCTTAGCAAACTCAGGGAGATGGTCAAGGACAGGGAAGCCTGGTGTGTTGCAGCCCATGATGTTGCAGAGTCAGACACGACTGAGCAATGAACAACGGCAGCATTCACTTTACTGTGGCAACTGAAGAGTAAGCATTTCACATTTTCACCCACTGGATGTGGGTGAGCATTTTATTTCAAGACCTTGATGTTGAGTCAAAAGAGAGAAGTCCATTTTCTCTGTAATGGTTCATCTTGTGTGTGTGTTTGGCTGGGTCATGGCACCCAGCCATTTGGTTAAACACCAGTTCCTATTTTGCTGCGGAGACTTTTTTCAAGATGTGATTCATGTTTAAATCGGAGTCATGATGTTGAGTCAAACTGTGGACCCTCCATCATGTGGATGGGCCTCATCCAATCACATATAAGGCAAAGACTGAAGATTCCCCGAGAAGAAGGTCTCAAGATTGTGGCACAGAAACCTTGCCTGAGTTTCCAGCCTGCTGCCCTGTGAGATTCAAACTCAAACACTGCAGTATCCTCTCTTCCCTGAATTCCCAGCCGCTGGCCTGCCCTACAGATCAAACTTTGGACTTGCCAGATCCTAAAAGCCCTGGATGCTGGGAAGGACTGAAGGTCAAATGAGAAGGGGGCGGCAGAGGATGAGATGGTTGGATGGCATCATCGACTCTAGGACATGAGTTTGAACAAACTGTTAGACAGTGAAGGACAGGGAAGCCTGCTGTGCTGCAGTCCATGGAGTCACAGAGTCAGACATGGCTGAGCAACTGATCAACAACAGTTCTGTGAGCCAGTTCCTTAAAATAAACATCTTTCTCATTTATCTATATAAATATATATTAATATATGTATGCATGTGTGTTCTCTTTCTCTCCATATGTATATATGCTTCATTTCTCCAGTGAAACAGAATCAACAGGATGTATGTATGTGTGTGTGTGTGTGTGTGTGTGTGTGTGTGTGTGTGTGTGTGTGTATATCTGTTGGGATTTCCCAGGTGGCTCAAGTGGTAAAGAACTCACCTGGCAGTGCAGGAGATGTGGGTTTGATCCCTGGGTCAGGAAGATCCCCTGGAGAAGGAAATGACAACCCACTCCAGTATTTTTGCCTGGAGAATCCCATGCACAGAGGAGCCTGGTGAGCTACAGTCCATGGGGCTGCAGTCAGACATGACTGAGCATGTGTGCACATATATGTATATCCAACATCCTATTGATTCTGTGTCTCTAGAGAACTCTGACATATCCTCTGAGCCACGTGGGAAGTTCCTACCTAATAGGGCCACAGATACCAGAGGGTGTAAATGTGAATGCAGACTCTGAGACTGCTAAGACCAACTGGGAATTGTATCTGTGCTGTGTGGGGAGTGATGCTGCAAACATCTGGACTGCTACACCCCTCTTTGCATCCTTGTGCCGCACAGCCTCCTCACGCCCCTATCTGGCCCTGTCCTGCCCACTGGGGAAGGCGGGAGGGGCAGCTATCATTGTTACAGGCAGTATATGGGAAGAGTGTCCGAGACCTGGACACAGGAGATGAGGGATGGAGCCTAAAGCTGTGACTTCACGCTAGGCATCTCCCTAGTGGCATTTGAGATGCCACAGGTGTACTACTGAGGCCTCAACAAGCATCTCATAAACTCTGATTTTGTGTGAGAGGCAGTGTGGGCCACCGGAGAGTGCTCCTTCAGCTTCTTTTCCATGTGCCAGTCACTAGGCGCTGTGCTAGGTGCTGGAGACAGACACAAAGCTTATGTTCCAGCATGCAGGATAAATGCAATGGAGAAAAATCACCTGGGGATGTAGGAGGTTGCATCTATAACATTACAGACTCTCTGGGAGACACAGCCACGCAGGGGTCAGAAGCACATGCGCAAAGGCCCTGGGGCAGGAATGTGCATGTGCCAGGTCTGAAGAATATTAATTGCCCACGAAGCCCTGCCCTCCCTGGCTACTGCAGACCTCCCCCCACACAGCCACAAGAGCTGTCCTCTGTTCCCACGCTCCCTTCCCTCTTCAGGACATCTCTCTTTGCACATCCTGTTTCCTCCGCCGAGTGCCCTCCTCCTTTGGGTCTTGGCATATGGAGAGTTTGATCTGACCCCATATTATGATCTCATCAACCCCCGGGCTTTTCTTCCAATGCACTTAGATTTTCCTATCAAGTATTGTTAGTGTGATTGGCGTGGGAGACTGTTAGCTGAACTCATGGACTGTCTGCTCCAAGGGCCAGAACCCTGCCTGCTCAGTGCATCACTGCGGGACTAAGACCAGCTCAGCGTTTTTGAGTTTTTTGGCCGGGTCAGGTCTTAGTTGCAGCACGCGGGATCTTTTGTTGCAGGGCACGGAATCTCTAGTTGTGGCTCTCAGGCTTATTTGCTCTGCAGCGTGTGGGATCTTAGTGGCCCAACCAGGGATCGAACCTGCTTGGGTCCCCTGCATTGCAAGGCAGATTTTTTTTTCTTTCTTTTATAAAATTTATTTTTAACTGGAGGATAACTGCTTTACAATGTTGTATTGTTATTTTGTGCAAGGTGGATTCTTAACCACTCGACCACCAGGGACGTCTCCTGCTCAGCGTTTAAGATATTGAAGGCACTTTAGAAATATTGTTTGAATGAATGAGACAGGCCAAAATCCAGACCCCAGCTGCCCATTTCCTGTCCATTATCCAACGTCACAAGCTAAGGCACTGAGAGCTTCTCCGTGGCCTGTTTGCATGGATTCCTCATAACCAAACCTTTGGAGATGAGTGCTGTCACTATTTCCACTTTACAGGTGAAGAAAGAGAAGTGTGGATGCATCCAGTAAACTTGCCTGGCATCCCCCAAGTACTAAGAAGAGTTAGGTTTTCAATGTAGATATTTTTGGCTTCAAGCCAGGATATCAGCTGCTACTCTATGCTATAAGGGCCTCACCTTGGGCTTGGAAAGGCCAAAAGAGCTGATGATACACACTCCATAGAAGTTAATACATTTTCAATTAAAAAAATATATTTTTAAGGTATCTAGTATGTGGCAGAGGGTGGCACCACACTAGATATCGGGTTTTCACTAGGGACTAAAATTGACAACATTGTGCCATTTAAATTGAGGTTAGGGAGATAGGTATTAAAGGGGTTACCCAAGAAATGTGAAAGGAAGGAAAAGGAGGTGGTGATCAAAGAGGAGGCAAGGTCAGGGGAGGTGATGAGTCAGCTGAGAGCTGAAAAATGAGGAAGAGCAGGCCTGAGAGAAGCAGGGGTAGGGAGTCACAGGCTGTGGGACTTGGCCCTGGGTACCGTTTGTCCAGTTGTGGGGCTAGAAACAACGTATACAAACTCAGAGATGCTCTAAAAATTTAAGAGATGAAGCCTCCTCCAGTCTCTGGGCCTTCACACTTGGAAAGACGCTCTCTCTCTTACTGCTTTCATGTCTTGACTCAAATGTCTTCGCAACGGTCTTTCCCTAGATGCCCCATTTAAAACTTCCCCGACCCTTCACGAGTCCATTTCAACACAGTGTGTTTTACTCAAGAGTTTTCTTGCCTCGCGCCTGCCTCTTCCACTAAACCATGAGCACCACAGAGGCTGAGATTTCTCTTCGGTACTACAGCACCTCAGCCTGGGGCAGGTCAATGGATATCTGCTAAACTAATAGCCCTAGGTAAGCTTTGCGGACAAAGTAGCCACGGTCTTTGCCCGCTAGCCTTTGCCGAACGGGCACCACCATCATCGGAATAGGGATCAAAGCGGTTCATCGACCTGCACTAGGCCCAGGGGCCGGCTCTGCTCATTCCCGGCCCAGCCTGTCCGCCTCCTGCCTTCATGCACGACCTTGGAAGCCTCACTTCTGAATCTCAGGGTCCCTCGCCACGCTTTCCCCGCAGACCTCTCCACCATCCATCCCATCCCCCAACCTCCCGCTGCCACCTACACCTTCACCACCGCCGCAGTGCCGCCTGCTCTGCGCATGCTCGGCGGCGTTGAGACGCGCGGCGTGCTAGGACGGAGACCACCGCGCGCAGGCGCATGACCGTCCCGCACAGAATGGGGAGGCGCGTTGGGCGCTCTAGCTCTCACTGGCCCTACCCACCTCTCCCCGACAGCCCCGGCTAGACGCGCACGCGCGCTAGGAGCGGAAGGGCGGGCGGGCACGCGCACGAGAACGGGCCAGCAGCGGAAGCGAGAAAGGGAGTTCGTGGTGGGGGGAGGGGAGGTGGCGAGTGCGCGCGCAGCGGGGGCGCGGGCAGCGTGGGGGGGCGGCTGAGGCAGGCGGGCGCGCGCGCGAGGCTTACCCTCGCTCGGCGCGGCGGCTGCTTCTTTGTTTCGTGAGGAGAAGCGAGACGCCCATTCGGCCCCCGGCCCCGCGTGGAGGGGCGGGGGCGGCGCCGGGAAGGCGACGGCGCCAGCGACTCCCGGTAAGGAACGCGGGTCGCGGGGGGAGCGCGGCGCGGGGCTTGGGAGGACGGTTTGAATGGAGCCGGGGCGCCGAGGGGGGAGGGGGCCGCCGGCGCCCGGAGCGGGGCCGGGGTACGGCGGCGCCCGAGGGTCAAGAAGCCTGGCCGGCACCGCGCGCGCGGGGAAGGCCACAGGCAGCGAGGCCTCGGCGACTACAGTATCCGCGGGCCGGCGGGGTGGGGGCCCGGGCCGCGTGGAGGCCGCGCGCCCCCCGCGCGCGCTCTCGCCGGGGTCGCTGGACAAAGCGCGTCTTCTGGTCCGCGGTCCAGGGGCCAACATCCCGGTGTCCGCCGGGGCTGCAACAATAGCCAGGAGTCCGGGCTTTTCTGGTTACGTTCTAACGGGTCCCACTCGAATGTTGCCCTTTGGCGAGGCTGCAGTCGGAGCTCAATAGAAAAAACCCCAGGTGTGTCCAGCGTCGCCCGGACACGAACATTAGCAGCCCCCCTGGGTTAGCCGACCTGAATTTTTATTTTTAAAAAAGTCGCGTCGTTTTAGATTTTCAAGGAAAGGTAAATAATTCTGCTAACCCCTCGCAAGTAGTGACTTGAGAACGTTTGCCCCGAAGCCGGGGGTCGGCAGCAGTGGGGGAGGACGGGGAGAACTGTTTGCTGTTGAAAGCATTGTTTTAGTTTTGCATCCTTTCCCCTTTCTTCCAATCGATTTTCCAGATTGAGGTGTTTTATTAAAACGTGAATCTTTCAGGAGAAGGGGTTTCGTGAAGGTCTTGAGGACACTAGTTTTGATATTTTTTCCCCCAGTGAATCATTGGGGAAAGTAGGGAATAAGGAGTGAGAGCCACTTCCTAGGAATTTGAAACAAGTTTTCACTTTCAAATGACAGGCCTGATTCGAGTTTGACTCCTGACTGTTGCTGGTCACTTCGCTGTGTGACAGGAGGCAAATATCTTAATCTTTGGGAACCTCTCAGTGTCCTCATGTGTGAAATGAGAAGAATGGCACAAATGGAGCTCGTGAAGGCCTGTAAAATGGTTCCTGTCAAGAGGGAAGCCCTATTGTTGTTCAGTCCAATCTCTTCCTTTCTTGTTCAACACATACTTGTTGAGCCCCAGCTGGGTGTTTGGTAGTTGGAGGTTGGGTGTGCAGAGGGGCCTGCTCAGTCTTGTAGGGGAACAGGTGGTAAACGTGGGAACAGCTGGAGGTCTGTCATGTGTGAGGAACACAGCGGATGGGTGCGAGTGGTGGGAACCAGACATCAAGGTAGCTGTATGGAAGAGGGGGCCTTTACTCAGGGTTAGGGATGACCCCCAGGTTGTGTTTGACCACCCGGGACCAGTCGTTGCTCCCCTCTGCTACTTTTGCACATGGTCATCTTGATCCTTTCTTGTGTTAGGAGTTACTCCAGTTTGTAATTACACATCTCTTCTCCAAGGGCCATCAGAGCTGTGTCTGTGTAATCTCCTTTAGTGTACCCTGGCCCAGTGGGTAGTCGGTCCTTCTTGAACATTTGTGGATGAAGGAGGAGGGTATTCTTGAGGATTGAGTAGCCTTGTGTGTGAAGTACTTGGCCCAGGACTTGAGGCCGAGTTGCAGACAATAAATACTAGTTGCTGGTGCTGTGTTTTGCTTTGTTTTTTATTTTTTTTCTAAAGCTTTCCAGGCCATTTTCCCCAAACCTCATTCCCCCAACAGTGAGGGTGTGGGGTGGTGGTTAATAGGAGGTGGTGTTGTGAAGTGCTAGTTCTGGAATTAGACTTCCTGGATTCACAGTCAACTCTAAATTCTAGTTTGACCTCAAGGCACTTAGCAGTAGGTTCCCCCACTTGAGAAACAGATATGACAGTGGTGCCAGCTCAAAGAATTGTTGGGAGGGTTGAAAAGATAGTATGGGAAGTGGCTTAACACGCTGCAGAGTCTGGCATGTAATGAGCTCTCAATTTATCGGCGGTGGTTCTGTTTATATGTATGTATTTGTAAATTAACTTCAGAAAACTGAAAATATAAGAGTCATTCTGTATCCCAGAAACCCCAGGTTTGATGTGCTGGTTATATTTTCCTAATTTTCTTTAAACTCAATATATATACGATTATGAAAATAATAAGCGTTCCTCCTCATGCCACTTGAAATCATTTGTGCCCAGCCTTTCACGGGGGCTTCCCTGGTGGCTCAGTGGTAAAGAATCCTCGTACCAATGCAAAAGATGTAGGAGACATGGATTCAGTCCCTGGGTCGGGAAGATCCCCTGGAGGAGGGCTTGGCAACCCACTCCACTATTCTTGCCTGGAGATTCCTGGACAGAGGAGCCTGGTGGGCTACAGTCCATGGGGTCGCAGAGTCGGACACAGTTGAGTGCACACGCCAACCCTTCAGGAGATGTTGATCTTGCAGGTTTTTTGGGGGGGTGTTCATCGTGGGGTGACCTCATCACCCCACCTGCAGCTTTGGTGCAGGGCAGTGCAGTGGTCTCCAGACTTCCTGTCAGTGAAAAGCATGCCAGCATAATCACATATTTATTTTTTTAAAACACATAATTTATTTATATGCTTTTGCTTCTCTTGTGGGCCCTCAAAACATTGGGAGGTAACCATAGACCAGCTTCCGGTCCTCACTGTTTATCAGATGTGGGAGTGGGGGAGGGACTCAGTATGTTGGGTGAATATCCCATGAGAACTTTCTGCCAGTGAAGAAACTGAGGTCCAGGCATATTTCACCAGGGCCTCTGGGGTTGAACATCCAAGTCTGACTCCTGGGTTGGCCAGTTTCCCTCTTGTTGCCTCCAAGAAATGGGGCAAGTCCTCAGGAATGGCAGTTGATTTTGGCCTGGGCCATCAGGGCTGCCATGGCTCAGGGGGTATTCAGATTGATCCCAGACAGAGCACAGTGTCCATGGCACCCCCGGAGTTGTGCAGGAAGTGGCCCACCCACGCATTCCCAGTTCGTTTAGGGAACAGGCATGCACCTGCTATGAACCTGGTGCTGCTGGGGGCTGGGGGTTCAGCCAAGAACAGGCAGGCAAGTACCCTGTCCTCATTCATTCATATCCATCTCCTTATTTGCAAAGAGGGCTGGTCCAGTAATAGTACCCAACGTGTACAATTGTTGCAAGGACTAAACAATAGCAAAATGATGGATGACCAATGTTAAGTGCTTAGGAAAGTGCCTGACACACAAGAGTAAACAGTTTGTCTCTGTTGTTATTTATTTATTAGGATCCCAACAACATCCTAGCGGGTTAAGATACAGAATAGATTTTTCCCCATTGCAGTAGTTTCATATGTTTTCAAAATGGTAGAAAAGGAATGGGTGCCTCCATCTCGTCCTTAATAATTTTAAAATGCTGTGCTTTGCAGTTTCACCATACAGCACTGGAAAGAGGGAAGTGTGTTAGGTGGCTTGGATTTTGAAAAACGTAAAATGTTTTCCGTTTCACATGTCTCCTCGTAACTTGATTGGAACGCTGGAGAATCAAAGTTTTTTTTAAAAAAATAAAAAGAATGCATAAAACCTACTCTAAAAGGGAAGTAACAGCACGCGAATATTGGTGAGGGGAGAGGTCTGAGGGTGAATCTATGAGAACTGAGTTGAGGTCGTGTGAGCTCTTATCTTCCAGGTGTCATCCCTAAGAAGCAGGAAGCTCATCGGTGTGATCAGTGATATCTTTGTGTTTGCTCTTGTGTGCTTAGTCATCAGTTGTGTCCAAGTCTTTGTGACCCCATGGACTGGAGCCCGCCAGGTGCCTCTGTCCATGGAATTTCCCAGGCAAGAATACTGGAGTAGGTTGCCATTTCCTACTCCAGGGGGTCTTTTCTACTCCAGGGGGTCTTTCCTACCCAGGGATCTCCTGCATCTCCTGAATTGCAGGAAGATTCTTTTTTTTTTTTTTTTTTAAGGCAGATTCTTTACTTGCTGAACCACTGGGGAAATTTTTCAGGATATAGATTTGATGGGCATGAGAAAGTAGGCCTCTGCTCATCTTCCTGAGTGGAAAGGGGCCTGGAGCTGCCTCCAGGCGTAGCTGGGTTTCTTGGGGGGATTCCATTTCCCACAGCAGAGGGAGGGGAAGTGTTGTAGCCAATTCCCTCCAGTTCCCCTCAGGGAATGGACTTTGCTGCCCTGGCCCCCTCCTGGAAGCCAAGACTGGTTTCCAGAGCTTGGTTTTGGGGCTCTGTTACTTTGCCTAAGGGCCGTGTATTCATTTTTGTGTGTGGACACTTGTAACCGGGAGCAGTCTGAGTTTTGCTCACTGTGAAGTCTACCAGCTCCTGGAGTGTGACAAAGAGGAAAGTCTTTCCCATTGAGGACCTGCTGTAGAGCCCGGGGGGTTGTACTCAATATTTTGGCATAGCCCATGGGGAAAAGAATCTGAAAAGGGTTATGTACAAATATCACTGTGTTGTACACCTGAAGCTAACACATGGTAAATCAACTAGACTGCAATTAAAAAAAAAAAAAAGGATGGGCTTTAACGTGGCTCCCTGGGGTGGTGTAAGTTCTCCTTTCACTGGCAAGTCGCGCCCCGCTGGTTCAGGAAGCAGGTGGCCATGTGGCAGTTGCTGCCTCACCTGGTACCATGAGAGACGGGAGGGGGCAGGGTTTGCCCCAAAAGCCTCAGTATAGTTGGAGGGAGGATGTCTCTTGTGCCCATAGCTACACTGATGCGCAGGGGGCTCCTCCGTGCACCCTGGGAGCCGCTTCTGGCCCTGATACACTCCGAGCACACGTTGGACCGCAGCCTGGACTCCTGGCGCCTCCTCAGAACAGCCCCTGAGCTATCTAGCTCTCACCTCTGGAGTGCTCTCTCTGCTGCACTTGGTGCTCCGCTGGATGCTCCTCCTCCTGTGTCTTCTGTTCTTCAGCTGGCATCGGTGCTCAGGCACCAGAGTCGGACAGGCTTGAGGCAGACAGGACTCTCTTCCCATGTGACTTTGGGCAAACAGCCTCTCAGAACATAAAGCCCCTGTTTGACCCCAAGCGGGTGTGAGTTGAGGCCAAAATGCAACCTGGCTGGGCTTTGCTAAGCCTGATTCCAGGGCTGGTTGCCCCCAGGGAAGGGACACTTTCTGTATTTCTTTTTTTTTGATAATTCTGTTTATTTATTTATGGCTGTGCTGAGTCTTCATTGCTTCTCAGTCTTATTTTTCCAGTTGCAATAAGCAGGGGCGACTCTTTAGTTGCAGTGCACGGGCTTCTCATTGCCGTGGCTCCCCTTGTTGCGTAGCACAGGCTTTAGGTGTGTGGGCTTAAGTAGTTGTGGCACGTTGGCGCAGTAGTTGCAGCTCCTGGGCTCTAGCGCATTGGCTCAGCACTTGTGTGGCACA